AGAAGTTCTCGCTGACTTGCAAAGTGTCATCCAGCTGCTGCAAGTAGCTCCACCAAGCACGTCTTCGCATCACATACGAAGACATAGCCTCGCCTGCCTGTTGAGACAGGACGCCACCATCTCGAGAGCCAGCTGCGTAGCTTCCAACTCCGTGCGACGCTTCAAGCTTCGCTCAAGCAATGTGAGAAATTGCTATGGCCCATCTTTCTTGCCGAGGTCGTCGACGCTCACCTGCTAAATCTTGAATGCGCTGTCTCTCAAACCTTCAAGCAACCTCAGGCCCAAGGGCAAAGCTTCTTCACTTTGTTGGTGTCCATGTGGGCCTCACAGGCTGCTCTGGCTCTGACCCGGTACAAGTACTCCTGGAGCTGTCGGGTCGCCATTGAAACGAGGAATGCCGAACTTCAGAGTTGGCATCCTCCACAGCAGTGGAAAGTGCAGCGGCGCTGGGGCCGCCATCGTGGTGGAGGTTGTCCAGCAAAGCATGCCCCCTACCTTAGGGGGGGGGACTAGGTCCCCCCAAATTTAATGTTTTATTAATTGCAGGCCTTTGGAGTAAATTGAGACTAGACCAGTGTAAATTGATTTTTTACATGGATATTAAATTGGCAATGAAGGGGAGTGTTTATGATGGTTCATAGCTGGAAATTTATTGAGGGTCCTTGAGTTAAACAATTGTAGGGGTGGTCAAGCGCTCAACCACCCAAGCATGAATTGCACAATGTTTCACAGAAATTGAACGCATTTGATGGCGTTTGTTTTTTCCTCCAGCAAGCTCACTGTCAGCAAGCTCCATGAACGCCAGCAGGACGAAGATGCTAATCCCTGAGTCTCCTTAGTTCTTTCCTTAGTTTTTCTGGTCTGACCAGGATTTAAAAACATCATTTAACAAGATATTCATTCATAGGTACCTTACCTCTCCGCCGTCTTCCAATTAATTGTTTTCCCTCCCCCCGCTCACAACTGGTTCAAATTAGATATTTTTTGGTGGGGAGTGTTTACCTCTCTGCTGTCAGACCATGCATTTCCTCATGCTGACAAGCTTTTAGGGTCCCCCGCCCACATCCTATGTCAGCAATATCTGCAATTAATTGACGGAAATTAATTTGAGACTCAGTACCCCCCCTCGGGCTGGGGGCATAGCAAAGCCATCGCTTCACTGGCAAGCGAACGGGTAGCGAAAAGCTGACAGGTCCGAGATTGAATCCAAGCAGCCCCGCTGCCAGTGCGAAACTGGCAGGGCAAAGGCAAAGCGCTCAGCTTTTAGCGCGTGTCTTGAGCCACATGGCGTGGCAAGTCTGAGGTCAAAGCGACGGCACGGTGAGGAAAAATGCCGAAGGTGACGTGAAACAACACGTACACATGCTCACTGGCGCACCCATTTGGCCGGCGACGACCGAAGTTGCAAGGTGGAGCCATCAAAAGCGAGAGTGACCTGCCTACAAGTGCCACGCGCTTGCCTCTGATGTTTTCCCGCCTCTGCGACTGAGATGCTGTCCTGTCTTCCTCTCTGCGCAAGTGTTTCTTGGATATGCCTGATTGGCCCGGCCGCTTTGCTAGAAGTCGCGCGCGGCGTTCTCTGTCTGAATCTCTTTCAATGGTTTGTCTGTCAGGTGGCGGCGGCCCCTTGCAGGTTGCGCGCTTTCCCTTTCTTTGTTTCCTCTTCGCCTTGCTCGCTCTTCCGAGTCTTCCTCGAGACGCGCTTCTCCATCAGTGTCGAACTGTCATCTTGCACGCGATAGGGGTAAACACAAGTACCCTACAGCAGCGATTGAGCAAAACAACCTTCCAGTTTGGGCGTTGCAGAATGGAAGGAAGACGTGGTAAGACGCGATAACCCACATGGAGTTCTACGTACCAGGTTGGCAAAAAAGGTGAGAGGTGAAAAGCACCCGTGCGACCAAGAAAGAAGAAGCCGGCGCCTGGATGTTACAGGAGAACCCCGTATTTTGAGATTTAAGTAACACATGTTGATCCAAGAACGGTGTCTTCCACTGAGATGGTGTAAGGATTAGCTGCGGCGGTCGTCCAGTAACACCCAGCTCTCTCTCAGGGGGTCTTTCCATAGCTTGTTCCAGCTCAGACGGATCTAAGACGCATGCCCCATACCCTTTTTCGATTCAAAGGCTCTCCATTATACACCCCTTACTCCGAACTCCAGTGGATGGACAAAATCATCAAACCCAGAACATCATTTTGTCTCCATGGACCCCGCACCCCAAATCTCAATGTTACAAGTTCAACATCTATCCGGCACGGTCGTGAATATCTCCATGAGCGTCGCCAAATTTGATAGATTTGAAGACCTCGAAGACCATGTGGTCGACTACCTTGCCTCAGTGACTGACCTGAAGGTCTTTGGATGTACAATCGACTTCTTGCAAGATGACACACAAACCTACTTAGAAAATCCAATCTGGGAAAAACTGCAACAGAGCACAGAATACACCATGGTGTTTCGTAGCTGCTGCGAAGTCCTTCCCACAAAGGAGATCTTTGACGGGTGTCCATTCCGAGACATTCCACTCGCTGTCCATGTCCCCATGAATCCGGAGGAAATGGTTCCTGAAGGTGCCTTCGCAGCTGTGCCACGCTTGCGCCACGTCAGCGTGGAACCAGGCGTAAGGGTTGTGGGCGCAGAGGCATGGCAGTGTTGTCGACAGCTTCGGATAGTCAAGATGCCGGTTACGGTGGTAAGAATAGCAGACAATGCATTCCGTGGTTGCCAGCTGCTCAACAGTGTCACAGCGCCTGGCTGTATGGAGTTTGGCTACAAAGCCTTTGCAGAATGCAGCTCCCTGCAGTGGGTCTATGCTATTGAAGGAGTGGCGAACCAATTTTGTAGCGCCACCAAATTTGGGCGCTATCTCTTTCGAGATTGCATCAACCTAGCCACGTTTGCCCTGCAAGAGGCTGCTCACCCACAAGAGTTGCCAGCTCGAATGAATGCCAGGGAGCTGGCACAAGGTTGTCTCAGCTCCACTGGGATAGGTACACTTGTGCTCACGCGGGACTTCCAAGTGCTGGGGGCACATGCCTGTGACAACTGCAAACTACTGAAGAAAGTCGACATTTCCAACGCAACAATTGAAGAAATCCAGCAATTTACCTTTGTGCACTGCACTAGCCTTTGTGAAGTCAGACTGCCATCCACGCTCCATACCATAAGAGTCAAAGCCTTCATGAACTGTGCTGCACTGCCAGAACTAGCCATACCGCCCTCACTGCACTACATTGCTAGTAGAGCCTTTCTGGACTGCACCGCACTCCGTAGGCTTGTTAAGCTCCCAGGCCAGCATAAATGGAGGGGAATATATGCAGAAGAAAATGCCTTTGCCATTTGCCCAGCCATGGGATGGCCGCCGTGGCTGCACATGATTCCTGACACAGGTTATGTGTCTGGATTAGCGTAAGGCACACTTCTCTCACTATACGAGAGTCAGGCTCCGAAAAGCGGATTGAGTCGTCATCCTCGCCTTCATCGTCTGCAATTTTGTGAGCCTACCGGAATGGGAGCCTTAGCTCTTCGTCCGAGGTAGGCGGGAGGTAGCAGAGAGGTTGTTGGATGGCGCCCAGGGAGAACCTTAGTTACTGGTCTGCGGGAGCCGAACCACAGCCAATCTTGTACAAAGATGGCATAAGTACCATGCTAGGATAGGTCTCTGTTTCACCTGTTTCACATGGGCCATGCATGTTGGCGGATAGTGACCCCAGTGCTCACTATCTGATGGAAGAGTGAACACCTTCTGCAACCTCTTAAGTTATCGAGAGGGAGACAGTGGCGGTCAACATCGAGCTTTGGGGGAGGGGGGTAAGTGTATGTGGTAGAGGGCCTGAATACTTCGTCCACCTACGGTCTCTAAGCGCACACTGAACCTCATTCATGTCAGCGATTGGCATCTTTCGTGTTTCCCAGAATGGATTTCAACAAACATATCCCGCATTATTTCCGGCAACTGACCCCAAGCAGTGTTCAGAAGATCACAACGTTGAGTGAGAAAATGATTTGTTGTCCTTGTGGTGGTGGTGGTGGTAAAGTAGAGTGGTATGGTACTATGCTAGTGGTATCGTAGTGTGGTAGTGGTAAGGTAGTGTGGTGGTGGTGGGTGGGTGGGTGGGTGGGTGGGTGGGTGGGTGGGTGGTGGTGGTATAGTAGTGCGGTAGTGGTGGTATCTTAGGGTGGTAGTGGTAGAGTGGCCGTGTTAGTGTGGTAATGGTAGTGGTAGAGTGGTAGTGGTAGAGTGGAGTGGTAGAGTAGGAGTGGCAGAGTGGTAGGTGGTAGAGTAGCAGTGGTGGTGTGTTACTGTGGTGGTTCGTTGTGGTAGTGGTAGTAGCGCCTGCCACGACGTTCACAAAGCGCTTGCCGCTTGCCACGAGATCTGCACTTCAGGACTGCCGTGCCTACGAAATCTGCACTTCAAGGTTCACCAAGCGCTGTGCCTGCCATGAAATCTGCGCATCGAAGTAGAATGGCTCCGATCTCCAGCACCTGCGACGAAGAGGCGACTTGAGACCACCAAAACACAAGGGTTCCCTTGCGAGCCTGCAAAGTCGAAATGCACTTCGAAGATCTTGAGATGCATTAATGTACCCTAAATAGCGAATTAGCCGAACACGGTGCAAGCACCCTCGATCAATGCCAGTCTCAACTGCTACGGTAAGAACCCATACGTGCCACACAGATTTAGTCAATTTGGGCAATTAAACCAAGCTTTCGTCATTATATAAGCGGCACCCTGCTTAGAGCAAATGGCCATGAAGGTCATGACGCAAAGCCCTTACCCCTCATGGTGACACAGTGAGAATACGACTGGCTGCAGCTGATTGCTTCGCCTTTGTGGTTACGTACCTTTAAACCCCGCGGTGTGGGCGGTCCCACATACAATTGCTTCTGGTCAGGAGATGCATGATGAGCTACACTTGACTGGTGAGAGTGAGTCATGTCAATGGTTCAAACATGTTCAAACAACATAATCATGTAAAGCAAAAACAACCCCGTCCTCCTGGATCTTCAGATTCGTTAGGCTTTCGAAGAACCCAAGACCTTCAGGGGCAAACATCTAACAAAACATCTGATCTACATCCCATGGGCATCCGTATCCTCACCTTGCATAGCTGCCTATGGCAAAGGCAGTGGCGATCAAAGAGCGCCCAGAGCCTTGCAAAGACCCTTCTATTTAAGTTCCACTAGATTCGTTGTATCCCCACTTACGTCCTTCCGGACTGAAGCCAAATACCAATCATCTTAAAGCAAAATACAACCTAATTCGACATGAATCGATCTTGATCCCAGCCTTGCGCCTGGGGCACCTGGAACAGCTTCGGTGATTACGACGCAAAGACTACCTTGCATTGACATACTGAGCCATATGGGCTTGCCACCGGTCGCTGGTGCAACGAGAGAAATGGCTGCCTAAGAGCAAACACATATTGAATCTTTCCTTGTAGAAGCCAAAGACATTCAATGCTTGGCTTCTAGCGAACCAAGTGCAACTGCAGCAACACTCGCGCATCCTCCACGCACAACTGAGAAGGGGTCCTCACAGCATTCCTTTTGAAGCCAATGCGAACACTCCATGCTAAAGAAAAGCGACAAAGGGAAATGAGCCTGAAGATAAAAAGCTTGGGCAGGAACAAGGCAACCATGCCTCGGCCCATCCTCAAACCTTGTCCTCCAGGGACCTAGCTCGAGGGACCATGCAAGCATCAACAACTCCAGCGCGTCCACGAAGTTCATAGGCCTTTTGGTGTGCGAGGTTTACAATGCCAAAGCCCTTTGCTTTATATTCAAAATGCATCAAAATAAGAGATGCCTCACCAGGCTTTGCCCTCTTTGTCTTGGATTGCATCTTTTCTAAGCACTTGCGGCTCCAAAACCGGTCGCCCAGGCCCAGAGTCAGACACAGGCTGATGGCTGAGATGAGCCGGGCCGATCCGGGCAGCCCAGGGTTGCAACACAATGGCATG